TCATAACTGTAACTCTTTAAATACAGAAGTATTTTAAGTCATATCATATCCATATACTAAGATATACATGTATGCACATAACATTAATAATTCCAAGTTTCCATTAAAAATAAATATAACATCCCATTAACATTGGTACTTGGATGAAATTCATAATCTAAAAGTATAAAAAAAATCTTCAAATAGTCTATATATATCATAAAATAAAGATTGAATTGTATGAGTGTCTAAACATTAAATGCATATCCCTTAGAGTAACAAGTAGTGTCCCTCTTTTAACCTTCCATTAGACTTTACTATGTAATTAACTGCATATATATCAAGTGTTTAAAATTGATAACTTCAGGATGTTGTCCTTTCTCTGTTTCAATATATGGACATGAGCACCTATATGCATAGCTTTAATTTCTACCTTTCATTTTATTATTTTATTAACAATTTATATACAAACACATAGAAAATAATAATTAGTTTAATAGTGATAAAATAATAATTAGTTTAACATAGTGATTAGAAGATTCCTGTAGCAAAAAACCTGTAGGTATGTTCTAACTGAACAAACTAAAAAAATCCAGTCTAAGGTATATAAAGCCAAAGGGACCTAGCACAGTGTTTGGATAGTGTAAAAAAGTAATTCTAGAAGAAAAAAATATATAGCTTATATATAATATATAGACTATATTACATATAAACTATATATTTTTTTCTAAAATTACTTTTTTACACTATCCCAACATTGTGCCGGGTCCCTATGTTTGTTTGTTTGTTTGTTTAGATTTTACGTCACACCGACACAGTATAGGTCATTCGGCGCTGGTGGAGGAAGACCTCAGGTGCCCTTCCGTGCATTATTTCAGGCACGAATGGGCACCTGAGTAGAACCACCGACGTTCCGTAAGCTAGCTGGATAGGGGTCCCTATGTATAAAGCCAGTAAAAAAAATCTATCAATATTCACTCCTCAGGGCCTTTATGCTTTTGACGACCTTACAACTGGTAAATTTTATAAAACAAAAATAGTAAGTAATACCTAAGATAGACAGAAAAGAACAAATAATTAAGTAAACATGAGTTACTTCCCCTTAAAATAGAGAAAACCTGAAACAAAAAGGACACCCTAAACAGGAAATTATGAAATGTTGGCCAAAGCAGTAATTGCAGAAAATCGGATAGCTTTCAACATCCGGATACTGGTACACTTTGTGAAAACAATCATTCTGTGCAATAGATAAACGTAACATGGATAAAATCAGTAGGATAATCGTTTACAACAGTTCCATTACCAATCCTAATATTCATTTGGAGGTGAACGTTGTTCTTGTCCGAAAATTTTGAAAATATATATAAATGAATGAAAAAGAATACGGCATCAATGTGGACCACAACGATATTCGAAACCCGGGTTTTAGTATTGGCAATAAAGCTAAGGGAAAAGCTGTTAAACTGAGCCTGCAATTTCGTGAAAATAATATCACAATGCATATGCTGTTTACATAAAGTTATTAAATACAAATATAACAACATATCTGTTTACTTGATTTTTACGAATCAAAATAAAACTAATTAACACAACATGACATTAACTGCTAATAATAACAGCTCCTTCCATAGGCCAAAATAAAAAGCATTCCATAAGAGACGACGCCGCTTACCGGCGTCGCCAATAAACTGTACCAGAACAAAATATAATTTGTGATACAACTGTCCATACTATACAACAAGCAGCTCTATCATATATCATTATTTCTTTTGTCAAGAAATACTAGGAAATACTAAGAAATGATATGGAATAGAATGACGACACACATAAACAGATACCAATTCATGATTTCCAATCTAGTTCTCTAGTTCAAAACCAATTTTAAAACGAAAACAAGCAGTCAAAAGGTGCAAAAAAATTTCTTTTCCCTTTATTATAGTTTTAATCTCAAAAATACCGAGTGGACCGTTCATTCGAAACGCGGGTTTGCAGCGAAGCATATTTCCAGCTAAAAATTATGATTTGGTGTGAAGTATTCTTGATTTATATCATTTAAAAAAAACAAATAAAATGATACAAATCGAGAATGGAAATTGTGCCCATTGAGTTCAATTTAAACAGTGTCCCAACAGAATGAATATTTATGAAAAAGTAGATATATAACATAACATATTTTGAATAATGTTGAATCACCCTTAGGATATGTTGCCGGCTTTTTAACTTTGTCTTTTGACGTCATATCTGTGATATACATGCTACATTACCTCTAATCCCCTTTCAAAAGTCCATTTTATTTAGTTCCGCCCATTGTTTTCTCGTTTAGGGCAGACGCATTCTTTTACTTGGGGACCATACGCCGCTATTCATGGAATAGCACGAACGAGTCACATTGAAGGTTTCATGATAACCGCCCTAGGAACACATCTGCGGATGTTTCTAAATTAAAAGTTTCACAATTACCATGTTTAAATGTTAAATTCTGCTTCAGCTGGTGCTAGGGGGCGTGGACGGTAACTTGAACTTTCCATTACTATCCATGAACAGACTCAATGAAACCGAGTCTGCAATTTTGTCTTGTTGGGCTTTCTTTAGGGAATTTTTTATTTCTCTCTATTTCATTGACAAAGATGGTCTGATGTTTAAAGCTGAAGACAGTATATAATTGTTCAAGGTAAATGGAGTCCAGAATTAAGCCTCAAATATGACTGATTTACCATAGAACATAGAGTACGAAATCCGACTAGGCCGATGGCAGAAATCTTCAAGATACCAAAAGAAGACAATAGCCCTTACTGCATCAGTTACGCAGTAGAAATATGGAGATAAATATTGCAAAATCAGTCATTAATCGCAAATAACAGGTTAATTATTACTTATATCTTGAATCTTTCTACTTTTCTTAAAATTTGTATCTGTTTATCAAGTTTGATTTTCTTTAAATATTTAGGCTCATCGGGAGACGTGCAGCTTTAATAGAAAGCAATCACTGACTTGATTGTTTTGATAAAGAGGTAATGATAGAAATCCGTGGGGTAATAACAATTCTTAAGATTCAATAAATCATTTTATACAAACTAAATATAGCTGAAAAATGTGTTCAATAAAATGAATAAATTCAAAAGGATCAATAACATTAAAAATTATAAAACCTATAAGAGTATACATTAGTTCTGTTATTGATACACAACAGTTAACGACATCTAGAAAACTTAAGGAAATTACTTTTTGAAACAAATACAATATCAAATAAACTTGTTTAAAGATATTTTAAGACTTGAATCATATTGATTGAAGACGAATTTTATGGCTAGAGACACACGCAAAATGAAATACATGTATAACCATTTTGGATTTTCTTCCGATAAAATGTCAATGTTAAAACCATTGCGCCGGTGATAATTTGCTCCATTGAAGCACTGCAATCGATCCTTACGGCTCAGCAAGGGTTGTATGCGAATTGGTTGACTGCCAACCAATTACTACATTTGAATAACACATAGCAACTGGTGACCTTGGTTACGCAAAAGAACACAATGTTATTTTTTTATCATGCTTGTGCGCAGTTGACAATGAATAGAAAAGCGGGGCTAAATAAATAAAAACCTAGACAGGTTCATTGAATTTCAAGGCTACTTTTCGATTCGGAATAATGGCTTAAGATCGAAATTAATGCACTCTATTAACTACCTTTTTAACCAAGTCACAATGGCTGCAAGCCAAAAAAATCATCTCTTTTGATCATAAAATTGTATTATATTACAGGATAGGGAGTTTAAAAATATTGACATGCTGTTAAAATCTATAACTCATGATAAATTAGCGTATGTCGGTTGTGGGTGAGTTTAGCATAAGTGAAATATTGGAGTTTCGTTTATTAAAAACAAATATAAATGTTTGTACGGTAAGTATTTTATTCACATAATTATAATTATTATGGTAAGAGTGTGATACTTTATATTATGCTTAAGATAAAAAGATATTTGAGGTAATTAACACATATTAAGTATAATACAGAATTCTATTGAACATTTACACGGTTGTCATAACAATATATGACGAGGTGTAAGATAAAGGTTTTGCGTTCATTGAACGCCGCCTTTCCTTGTTGATCTTGTTTATCATATATTTGCAGCTGTGCACGAGTCCAATATAAACAGTTTGGTTTTCAAAAATGAATACAATCCTCTATTTCTCTCCACTAATTTTGATAGAACTTTGTTTTTCAATTACAATGAGGTTTCATATCAATTTTTGGACTCAAATAATGACAACGAGTCGAGATGGAGTACGATATGCATTTGGTTTAGACAATAAAAATGAAAATGAGGCTATTTTGGGTTAGATATGCATTTGATATAAATGTTTCTGAAATGAAAAACGAAGTTATTTGTGGTACGATATGAATTTAATGTTTATATTTTGGAATCTGGCAATGGAAACAAGGATTAATTATTAAGATTGGATCCAATAATGATTTTGATTAGAACATTAGGTGTGTAAAACGGTTAAGGTATATTGGTTATATTTTATAAAGTGTAAAATCACTGAATTTATTTTATGTCTTAACTACAATTTACAAAGATTGTTCTTTATTCATGTTTTGTCTTGTGTCGTTATAAACTTTATAAGATATAATGTTCAATATCTTTTATATCTTAATCATAATTTGATATGCTAAATGGGTTGCATATCAATGCCGATAGTTGATCTTTATTGGTATAAAATGCCACAGAATAACCTTTGTTGATCAAATATCGGAAATATAACACTTAAGTTAGAAATGTTTATTTTTTAATTTCTATAGAAAGACTTAGATAGGACGATTTTTCACTTTTGCATAAATATCATATACATATATATTGTTTTCTTTCACATATCTTAGACAGAAATCATCTTTAAAATGTAATTTTTCATTTAAAATGTTAAAACATGATAACCTTAGCAAACATTTATGATATAGTTCGTATAACATGTATAAGTCGTTATAATGTTTTCGTTCTTTCATATTCATTACAGAATAACATACAATGGCATATGATTATGTAAAGATTGACATCGCCGAATTCCGATGGTATGCTAAAACAGGGAACTTCAACAAATGTGAAAGCCTCCTAAACAAGAATCCGAATTTGTTGATTCAAAAGAACAGAGATGGCGAAGAAACACTCCTTCATGCCATAGCAAGATATTCCAAGGACGAAAGGATCGCTCGCATGGTATTTTCTCGCCAAGAAGTAGATGTAAATGCATGTGATTATTGGGGCCAGACACCATTGCATCTTGCTACCCAAGTACAAAACATATCCGTCATGAAATGGCTATTAAAAGCGAGAAAAATAAATGTCAACATCAAGGATGCAAATGGTTATAATCCTCTACATGTGCTCGTACTTTCAGAAGATGAGGAGAATAAGCGCGTCTCGGATACTGAGGCTGATACTAAAGAAATCACTGACAGATGGAAAGAAGGAATTCAGCTTCTTGTTGAAGCAAATGCAGACATAAATGCGATAACAAATAATGGGCAAAACATCCTTCATCTTGCTGCATCTAAACCTTGTGCAGAAAGATTTGTCGTCTACATTCTTGTACATTATCCTGCGGTAGAATGGTCAGCGACTGACGCGTCAGGGGAGAATTTTCTACATATTCTATTTGACAACATAACCTACGAGAATGAAGTATTGGAAGATATTTTACCAAAACTCGGCAAATACATTGGAAATGAAACAGTTTTAAAAAACATGTTCAACCAGAAAGACGTTCTTGGTGTACCTCCGTGGTTTACTTTGGTAAAAGAGCAAAAGTACTTTATTGAAGATAAAACTGATTGCCTGGAAACGATTTTCATACAATACAAAGCTTCTATTAATGAAACAGATAATCTGGGAAACACAGTTCTCCATAGACTTCTTGGAGGTTTTGGAAGCAGTGATGTTTGGAAACTTATTGGCTGTTTGCTCAAACATAATCTTGACGTTAATGCAAGGAACGTTTTTGGCGAGGAAGCTATTTCTGAATTGCATATGGACGAAGCGTTTGAAATACTTAAGCTGCAAAATTGTGACTTTAAAAATAGGAACAGATGGGGAAGAATGCCATTTCAGTGTATTATGAATCTATATCCGAGCCCAAAATTCATTGAAAGAATGTTAAGTGAGCATTGTGTTGAGCTAGATTCTCAAGACATGTATGAATCTACAGCCTTGCATTTTGCTGCGTACAAAGGCAACGAAGAGCATGTCAAGTTGCTTATGGAATACGGTGCAAACGTAGACTTAGTTGATAGCATGAAAGATACACCCATAGAAACTGCAAAACGCCATGGAAATTTCAAATGCATGAAACTTATTTTCGAAACTGAAAACTTATATGTAAGAGAAAATAAGAAGACATTTCCACTTTATAAAGCCTCAAATGAAATTTCCCTCTCAAGATTGTTAGACAATCCAAATTTAAAGGAACACTTGGAAAATTTCCCAAACGATTTTAAACGATATAGCGAATATTTGCTTAAAGCCAGACGCACATGCACACTTGCTAGTCCGTCTGAGGAGCATGCGGAGGATAACGACGTAATTGCAGCAGTGCGGCACCATATCGAACAAATTTGTCAATACGTCAACGAGTACGATTCTAGATTTAGAATGACCGTATTTCCTACCGGAAGTACAGTAGAAGGTACGAAGGTTGGCCGTCCTGATGAGTTCGACTTCGTTTTATGCCTCGAAGCACTAAGTAGATATTGTGTGATTAAATCACCACAGCCATATAGTCCAGCGCATGCTCTTTTGCAATTCAAAGATAAGCCGGTTCCAGAAGGTTTCATATCATTTTCTGATCCAGAAGGCTACTTCCAAGCTCTTCCTTTTCTGAAATACCTTTTCAGATACATTAAAAGAGCCCTCGGCGAGAGAAAATTGTGGGAAAAGGGAAATCTTTCTTGTAGGTATTATTGTAAGTACTGGGATACTCTACACGTGATTCCAGAAAAACCGGTGTTCAACTTTAAAATGTATTGGATAGGATCAAAGTACAAGCAAATAGAGCTCAGCATAGATCTTGTTCCTGCTGTCTACAAGCGCGGATGGTGGCCGGCGAAAGCCTGTCTGGAGACTATGAGACTTGTCTCTGACCGTGTAAAGGATGAGGGCTGCTTCTTATTGTTACAAGTCGATAGCAATGAATTTAACGATAAGTGGTGTGCCATGAATAATGTCAGGAATGACAGTGTCGGTTACACGCTAAACATCTGTCAGGGAACTCGCGCAAATAAAATGCTACGCATTTCAGTCGCACCAGCCGAAATATCTCTAATGAAGTCTCTACCAGAGATTTACCGCCAAGCCTATGCACTTTCAAAGATTGTTAAAAGTGTTGAAATTTGCCCCTCTGTTCGCATCGATACGACTCCAATGAATTTCCATAACTTTGTAAAGGCCGAAAATACAATAGTGGATCCAACTGATGACTTAAAAAGTTACTGGCTTAAAAATTGCACATTTCTTGTGGCTGAAGACTTGGGATTAGATATTTCTGAAACAATAACACCTTTAGAAATTACTACATTGATATACAAAAAGTTAGCTGAATTGTCAAAGTCATGGTCTCTGAAACCTTATTTGTTACCACAAGTACGTCTGCTAGAGTATGGATCAAAGGATATCTACGCACTCAGGGATAAATACAGCATACTGTTAAAACGAAAAGTCTGTCTAGATGTTGTCCTCGGAATACTAGGTGAACCGTTACCGCAGCAAGAAAAGGATTATATAAAATGGGCTGACGAGAGTTTACAGATAGAAGAAACAATTCAACAGTCTTTAAACCCGAAGTTTTCAATAGATATAAACACTGTTTTTTTTTAATTGGTTAGATTGATTTGGAGTAAAATAGTGTTTGTCTCCCAAAATTTGACCTTGAAACTAAAATATTTGCGTATGGACATTGCCCTACAAATAATAGAGTGACGATCTGTTTAAAAATAGCAAACAACGTTGTGTAGTAAAAGCTAAAATATATCATTTGCCTAAAGTGCAAGAAGGGTTATGAATTTATTTATTTATTTATTTATTTATTTATTTGTTTATTTGAGATATAGCAAGGATGCATAAAAATGTAATTTGTTTGGTTTAAACAGTATTTTCTTCATAAAATGCAAACATATACAATTATGATACAATTATGACAAAACAATATTATATAAAACAGGATTGAAATTTGTTTTATAGTCTATTTAGTAATGTAAGGATATTTTGATTTTCTAACAGTTAATCACGATAGAGGGGTGAACATTTGTATGCACAGCTACTTATAGTATAGAGTTATTGATAGACGAAATAGACCTAGGTTGTTGTGGTAGTTTTTACAATTGATTTAGTGGAATAAAATCAAGTTTTAACTTTTGGCTTACCTTTATATATTTTTTAAATTACATGACAGTCGTTGTACCTAAAGCGCTATATGGACCTTTTACTCAAATAACATATCAAATTTAGAATTAGCACAGTACTGTGTAAAATTTATACAAACTTTTCATATATCTAGTGCATTATGTATGTTGAATATACCAAACATACTTACTTTGATAAATTATTTGGTCAATTATGCCGATTGCAATCAAAATATCATGCTTAACAGATACTTGTTAATGGATTGATTAGATATGTGAATGTGGATAGACAGAAACATTGATTTAATCCAGACATATCTAGATTACTGCAGAAATATGATCTGTAGTACGTCATTTATTCTTTTATTGATGCCGGTGTGTTTTCATCTAAATTAAAATGGAAGAAGATTTTAAAGATGATGGTAATCAATGAATCAACAAAAGATTTATTCTTAGAAACTTTAACGCCACAAGTGAGCCAACAAGTCACAAGTCATTAACATTTCTACTTCATCTTTCTAAGATTTCGCCTTTGTGGGTTATTATTCGACAATATTCGGGTTCAAAATTGGTTGCTGAAACACTTGCCAAGGCAGTTGGATACAGGATGTGTTCTTCATATGTGCGCCGATGTAGCATTTGCAATCCTCTTACGAATGACATTACAGAACACCTTATGTGTATTTGTCACAGGAAAGAGACTGAAAGATGTGCCTTCTGAAACGCTATTATAGCAAATTTAGGTTTTGACCAATACAGCACATTTATTTGCTATGACTACATATATCAATGTAAAATGTTTTTACATATCTCATATAAACTTATTGATAGTGTAATTGTCAACTCTTAGGGCTCGTATATTGCTATCGCGCTTGCAAAACTTTTCATCATTGCGTTAAAAATGTAGCAGGCAACTTTATCGCTTTATAGTACATGAAGTATGTTTCTCAGACATATACTGTATAGCTATTTTTTATTTACATGCTTAATACATTTTTTTTAGTTTTTATTTCTTAAATTAAGATCATTGATTTTTTTATGAATAATTCTAATAACGGTCCGTCTATGGATAATCATTTATAAAGCATGAAGACTGTACCTTCGCTTTCTCTTAATTTTTCGTTTTTCGATTAGGATTCAGTTATTGGTACGAGACTTAGTAGCTTATATTATTTTTGTCACCTAGGATGAATATAGTAATGTTCATGTTTAAAATGAATGATTTAAAACATTGTCTTAACTTTCGCTTTCATTTAAGACAACAATATACGCCCATAAATCATTATTTTTCAACTGTAAAATAATTTTATTTGTTATTGTATCTCTTATATAACAATGTACCTATACTATGCATATGTATATTATTCTCTTCTGTTGTATGTACAATATATATGTTTTGTAAATATGTTACGCGTTCCAATATCATAAGTTATGAATAGCCTTAATAGACTTGGGCTGTTGTGGTAGTTATTGCTAATCAAAGTTGAAAAATTGCAAAAATTGCTTTTTTCGTATTTCGTTCCAATCTTAAATGCCTTGTGTTTTTATATTTAGCGTACATGCTTTTAAACATGTCACTTTTATTATGACAATATGACTGGTAAACAGAATATACAAAACTATGCAATCATTTAGAAACGAAAATGCATGTACCAAGCTGTTGATTTCCTGTTATAACTCTGATGCTTGAACCTATATCCAAAGTTCATCTGATTTATGTTTGTAAATATATCTAAGTACTATGACATAATTTCATAAATGTAAATGCATGTATATATTTCATTGTTTAGTTTTGCATTGCAGCAATAGATCAAAAAGCCAGTTATGAAATAAAACAAACATGCTTGTAATGAAATTCTTTAAACATAAATAAATAAAAACATACAAACAAACATTAGTACATATAACAATATGTAATATTTAAATAATTGTTCTGCAAAGTGGGCTCTTCCTCTTTAAAAGAGAGCTTGTTTTCAAACATACTATCAGTCTTAATTGAAGATAGCAGTTCATGGTCTCTTTGTGATTTTCAAAATGTTCTTCACATGCAGGTGATATATCCCAAAATTGGAATTATCTTCTTGACCTGTCAATGTGCAGCTTCAACATTTCGTTTATTTCGAAATCCGAGGCTTCAAGACGTTTCAGATTCGAGCATCCGGCCATTGGACATCTGAAAATATATGAAATGAATATCTCAAAAGCTTTGGGGTTGTTTTTTTGTTACTTTTCATTTCTTGCTTAGTTTTTTTCACACTTGTGTATTTTATTTTTACTTTTGTTTGTTAATAATTACAGCTTGGTTGTGATGTTAGGTAGGAAGACCAATAACATTTTATTTGTTTATATAAGTATGTATTACTACGCTCGTATATCTCGTATAATGCTGGTATCATTATTGCTCTTCAATGATGTCAGATCTTGTTTTTGCATATTATCTTTATTGTTTTCAGCTTTATTGAAAAATTAAATCGTTATCATTTGAACCTTTAGCAGATAGTGTATTCAGTTGAACATTTTACACTTTTATACATAGTGATGTATTAACTATGACAAAACTTAAAAACTATTTTTACATTGTGTGTATAAACATCTTTTCATGTAAAACATGAACTTAAAAATAGTGTTTGTATATTGTAATAACTTTTTTGTTACCTTGGAAAACGACTCAATTTCAAATATTCAATCATGGCATTTCGATCAAAAGTATGTCCACATATTTTATTTCTTACAGGCGTTTTCATTACACATCTAGTGTAAGGACATACTATGCTGATGTTTTCCTGTATAACCTCGACATCATCGTCATCAGATTGAGTATCGTCTGTGTATGTTACTGTATAATGATACATGTCTGTAATTTGAAAAAGAAAATTCATATTTTTCTGTAGTTCTCTGTATGAAAAATGTAAAACAAAATAATAATAATAATAAAGATATTTGTGAATACATGTATGAAAAACATGTTTATTGCTGTTCTGCTGTATGCAAACATTGTCTTGAGTGAGTTTACTAGTTGTACTCAGGTAAACTTTAAGTTTTTGGGAACAGCGTCTTCCAAAAATGTATGGACAGTCATTATCGAAAATGTATTTGTTCAAAAATGTATGCCTGTATGTTTTGGTGCATTATTAATGCAAAACAATTAAATTAGAGTTCACACAGTCAAGCTTCAATATTTTGATGAATTTATTACATTTTGACTTAAATTGTTAATCAAACCGTAAGTTGGAACACTTATTAATTTTCCCTCGTGTACAATAACCACAAAAAAAGATAAAAAAAAATCTATGATGTTCTGCTGTTCGTTTTACATGATAATTTAAGGTTAATATGTCAAAATAAAAGTTTGTTGTTTCAAGTTCAGTGTAACCCCGATTTTACAAATCCAGCAAAGTATCCACGTCAGCGGTTCTAATACCGACGCTTAGAACATTGATCAAACAAATTGCTGTATCTGGCAATACAATAAATAATTGATGTTGCTCTGAAATGTACGGATCTATTGTAAAAGTT